TCCTTCAATACGAAATCATCTCTCTCCTCAGAGCCATAACTTCTCTTAGAATATATAACTGGAATGAGCAGTACATGTTCTTATCCTTGCTATAGAAGAAAAAGACTGGAACTAAGAGTTTGGAGACCTAGTATTTAGTTCATGCTCAGCCTATAATGACTGTATTCGCTGACATCTTGAAGCATCAGTTTTCTTATCTGTCAGAGGAGAATATTTGCCTTAATGCACAGAGTGACTAAAAGGATCAAATTAACTATGAGATATAAAAACTCTCCAGTGCTACAATTTGTAACTGGGCTAAGACACTAAAGGGTTTCCTCATGCCCCCTCATCTCCTATCCTCTATCTGCACCCCCCCTCATCCTTCTTGAGCCCCCTCCTCATCTACATAATGCAAATATATTCTCCAAATGCTTTGCGTGAAAATTTGGTTCTTTATGTCACTTCACACTGAGTTTCCTTGATGACTTCAATTTATAAAACTGTTTTTCAATTCAAAAACAAACAGAAAACAACCCTGTGAAGTAGAGATAATTGTTCCTTTTCCTCAGATGGGGAAACCAGCTCAAAGGGTGCTGAGGGCAGGATTATGAGGGAGAAGTTGAAATGGTCCCACACCTACTCTAGCATTCCCCTCTTCTACCCCTGCTCCCACTGTGGACTAATAGACTAACAGGTACAAATGTTAGGTGGGAGATTGGTTACATACAGGGAGATTGAACAAATAAGTAAATATACTAAGGACAATGGGAGTCAGGGTTCTTCTCATTGTTTGAGAATGGAGTCATGAATATGGAAATGAACCCTATGTTTACCTGGATCTTATAACTTAACTGGACTGGAGATATCAATGTGAATTCATAGATTTCAATATATAGAAATAAATATATGCAGACATACACACACATCCTACCCCTGTCCACTGAGAGGGCCTGTGTGCAGCAAAACCCAAATCAATGGGTACACTTTACATCCAGATCTAGGCTTCTAAAAGGAACAAGGACTCAGAGAAACGGCTGATCCCAGGGTTAGGGCAAATCTTATTGTGCTAAAAGAGCAAGAAAGTGCTCAAAAAATGATGGAGACATGTTAAAAAAGACATAGAAGACACTGTGACAGGGTTTCCACTGGTCAAAACGGGAACAATTTAAAGATCAAAATAAATAATGACAATAAAGGACTATAAACTACTGGATAAAACAGTAAGTCATTAGTCCACACTGATATAAACAAATAAATAAATTGAAGGTTTGAAGGAGAAAACAATATTTATACTGTTTTAAAGTAACTTCATGCCAAATTCAAATGGAAAGTAGAAACTACATAGGGGTAAAGCTAGCTGATGGCACTTTAATCAAATGAACAATGTGAATGTTAACAGTATTGGGGCAAATCAAAATCATGCAGCACCTGACAGGATGTAATAAGAAGAGTACAGCATCACTTCTGTGTTATTCCTTCTAAAGATGTATAACCTGAATCTAACATAAGGAAAAACTATCCAAACCCAAAATGAAGGACATTTTACAAAATATCTGGCCCATATCTTCAAAAGCATCAAAGTCATGAAAGTCAAAAAATAACTGAGAAACACTTCCAGAGTGAAAAAGACTAAAAAGACAGGAAAATTAATACAACATGTGATTCTGAATTGAATTCTTTCATTATAAAGGTCATTATTGGGCCGGCTCACTCGGGAGAGTGCGGTGCTGATAACACCAAGGCCTCGGGTTCGGATCCCATATA